TGCATCCTGCTGGTTGAGTATCAGCACAGCAAGCCTCACACCCTCCTCCTACTGAATATGGCCACTGTGTTTTCTACAGTTTGTCATTTACAGCAGGAACTCTCTGCAAACTCAGCCTTAGCTGAAGCCAAACTGGAACATACAACCTGATTTTGACCAGAACAGATTACAGACTAAAGCTCTTCAACTTTTACCCTGCTCAGAGACTGAACTGAAGTTTAGGAGAGTTTACAGCCTTTGAGGTACTTTAGAGTTAACAAACATGTCAGTTGTCTCATATGACTTAGGTACCACTGTACTGTGCTTAGATAAAACACACTTTGGTGAGCCATGAAAGTGTGCTATTATTGTTCTTGAAGCAACTCTTAAAGTAATTCATATGACATGTTGATGTCTAGTTGAGTTATTCTACATGCACAGATAAATCCTTATACTGTATATGCAGTGCACAGCAGCTTGGACGGTAAAGACACATGTACAAAGCAAAAGAGCATCAACAAATCTTCATGTCTCAGAATTTTAAAATGCTTACAGTAAGACATTGTGCATATGGCCTCCAAACTGAGGTGCAGCTAGTATACCTACAGCAGCTCACACTTATTGCCTCTCCTTTACTGTACATTTTATAGTACATGAAGCTTTGCATCAAAACATTTTAAAAAAGAATAAAGAATAAGATTCATGCAGTACACAATCTTTTTTGTTAGTTTGCGATTATGGAAATTAAAAAGGGTCAAAAGTCTTTGGCACTGAGTTCTGGACAATCTCACCTTTTATCCCAGTTCTCACTTTGACTTTCCTGTTCAACTGCATTTCTAAAGTACTTCCTGTTTTATGTAATCAAACATTTTTAGCCTGAACACCCTGGTGGATTTAAATACTTCTGCACTCATGGCTCCTAAAAACCTATGGGCGCAACTCGGTGATGATACGTGCATGCATGGACACAACTAATGGTACAACTTTATCAACACTACTGAGGATAGTGCAATGCAATTATCCTAATGTTATTATATGTGAGGATTTGATGATTTATTTGTTGAGCAGCCCTGCAGCTTTTTGTTTATTCATGCTCTTAAAAACGGCAAAACGCATTTACATTTTCAAATGTGTTGTACACAATATGAAGTCCATCAGTCTATGATTATTAACTTAACGTTGTCGAATGGGCCCGGAGTGGCTCACTTTAAGACAAATGAGCTCTCTCTGGCTTGTTGCTGACAGTAGTGAATGCTTAAATCTACATTAGCTTCAGACATTAGCCCTCTGCAGTCTGCAACTGCTGAGCTGTTAGTGGTTCAGTCTGTCTTCAAATACAGTACTTGTTTGTGTAATATGATCATAAGAATATAATGAATCACAATAATGTAATGAATTTGTGGGAATTTATCCATACTTTGCAGAGAATCTTGCAACTCCTAATACTAAGTTTTTTAAAGGCTCTGCCATCTGATGAGAACTACTACTCTGGTATCAGTGTTGTTACAATAAACAAACATAAACACACCCATTATTATCCATTAAAAAGCCTTAAACTACTGTGCTGTGCATCAAACAAACCTAACAAAGTATAAAGAACACAAATGTTTCCAAGCTAATCTTAATGTAGCTATTAACGTCGTTACTGATGTATTCAAACTAGACGCACAAGTCAATGTCAGTGCACTGCTTGTCTAAAAATGTATAAAAGGACTTTGACACTTACGGATATTCATAGGCATTTTTGACACCAACAGACTGTGAGGAAAGGAAGAGAAAATGTTTTTGTCTAAAATAAATTTGTTGCCTACTGTGATAAAGGATTTGAGTAATTAAAATGGTGAAGCTTGTAATTAAACTTCATTTCACATAATCAGTTTTTCAGTAGCAGTAATTTTGGCCTAAATAAAGATGTTTTTTACTGTTGTTTATTATATTGCTCTATGTAAGCACAGTGCTAAATGTCTCCTCCTCTGTATAGTTAATGCAGATCTGTAAATGCCAACTTTGCGCAATAGTGCTATACTGCAGCTATAGCATGCATTCTTTAGGGGCAATATATTGTGTTTCTCTACATCCTTATTCTCATACAGATAGAAGAGGTGTTTGACCAGAGCCTGAGGCAAAAAGAAGTTATTCCATATGAATGAAACCAGGGAAGAACTTTTCACACTTTCCTCTTTAGAGGCCTGAGCACACAGAGACTGAGTATTGAAACCTCAGAGGCCTGTACAGCCTCCCTGTAATATACAATAGCCCTTGTGGATGAAGTTCATAAAAGGCCAGGTAGATTTTTCAACTATCATTTTGTATTCACATTCACAGACCTGGAGAAAAGAACAGACTCCTGTGGGTACACATATGGATGCTGATTCTTCTTTTATTACTAATCAGCTGTATACATTCCACTTGCAAGAAATCCAGTAGGCCTGAATGTTTTCTGCATGACAAAGACCTTGTCTGTGCTGATAATGACAGCACAGAGCAGGTTGATATCTGCAACACACCTCTAAATCGTGGCCCTTTTGAGCTGATTATTCAAACCAAAATGCATTGAAGAACGATTCAAAACTCTGAACCACATTTACATCTAAGAGTGGCCATTAGCCTTGGATCAAAAATGAGTCCAGTTTAATGCCTTTGGGGAATTTAAAAAAGCATGTACCACTCTGCACAGCTCTCTATAAGCAGTAAGATTCACAGTCCTTAATGTTGAGTCTTGACATGAAGAATTTCAAGTCAAAAAGATTTAATAAACCTGCTACTGTAAGTATATAAAGTAATATTACTTGTGTAAAAGTGTACTAAAATAAAAGTAAACAGTTTCCTGAGTAAACATTGCTGTGTTGCATTTTAAAAAGGCAGGGGATGATAATATTACATGATAGTCAAAGTTGACACTGAGGTTTCTGACCTGTTGGCTTGGCGTAAGGCCTAGAAATTTTAAGCTAGTGGCTGTTTCTCTCTCTGAGCCTTGAAACCTACAGTATAACTAAAATTTCAGTTTTCAGACACTTAGTGAAAAGCTTTATAAACATTAGTACTGGATCAAAAAGTCCCCAGTACAATAAGTAGGACTGATTATATAGCAGCTATCGTGCATATGGGGGAAGTGTGCTCATGTACATTCCACTCTTTCACACCTTTAATACTAGAGTGAGAGTTCATGGTGTAGGAAGTGGTGATAAGAGGAAACGCTTTTTGCACATATTGTACCAACATGCAGTACAGAGTCTGAGGGGGCTGTGCTATAAAAAGTTAAGGCTTACTGATGGTGTTCTGACAAGAATCAACATCCATTCAACTCACCAGTGTTGATGTCCAGTGATGTGACAAAACTCAGATAACATTATCTGAAGAAAATCAACTGACTTGTCAAGATGGCAAATTATAAACTGAAAGGAACCTGCATGACTAAAGAAACTAGGAAGTTTAGTTGGTCATTGTGTTTTATGTGCAGTCTTATAGAAACATTAAGTAAAAAAAAGAACAAGTTTGTCTAATCTCCTGTAAATTAGTGTTGCAGGTCAGGAGGCCCTGCTGACAAAGATCTGATCTGCTCTGGTTTTATGCTTTGACTGCCAACAAGGACCCACCATAGAAGGTCATTCATCATTATGGTAACTTTTATCATAACAATCTTAAATTCAACTACAAAAAGCACTAGCATCAGATGTGATAGTAAAATTCAGGTTAAATGCATTCATTTGCTTTTCTTCTCCTTTGTAAAGTCTTGCTTTGAACAAAACGTTATTTGAGGCAGTTATGAAGTAATACCTTCTTTCGGAGCTGCACCTTCCAAAAAGAGGAACACAGAAGGAAAAACAGAAATGGTAAAATAACACTGAAATCATGTTTATGGGGTTACATGCACATTATCTTGCCATAAGCAGGAAGAAGGATGAATGCATGTCATGATCATACTGACTGGCTAGAAAACACTCTTGAATAATGTGATAACTTTTTTGAAAGAATTTTTTTTTTTTTTATAGTATACAGCAGAAATACACCAGAAGACATTTGATAACCATTTCACTTGTGGAACAAATTAGCCATCTCTAGTAAAAGTATACTCATAGTTTAGCTGATAACGTCAGCTAATGATGTGGAAATAACGCTATCACCTGCCTGTCAGTGAGCATTAGGCAATATGTTCAGGCTTAAAAATAACCTTGTCACTGCGAACTGGAAACAAGGATAGTTGCTGAAAATGTCTTTGTTGTGTTACTTTCTTGCTCTAATGTTGTAGGCGGCAATGTGTGGTTATGATAAGAACATTATTTCCCTTCACGTAACTCAAGTTCCTCTTACTCACTTTACATTCATTTTACAAGCACTTTCTAAAAGTTACAATAAGAACTTTGTAGCAGCAGTTTGCCAGCTTTTTTTGTCGCTGTTCTTCAGTAAGCATTAATCCGTAATGTGCTTTTTCTGTCCTTGTATTGAATAGAAGTACAGTAGGTCTGTCTTCAGGGAAGAGGGAATTACGTCCATAGATGCCTCTGTTCATTTCTTTCCAAATGAAGCTTAACGTTGTTACCATTGTTACATTGTTTCACATCGATGCAGTCAGAGGCTAAAGCCATATATATGTCATCGCCATAGTTAACAGGCTACATGCTAACACTGCCTGAGGGAGTATACACCAGCCAGCAGGGTCCTGTAAAACAATGACCATTCTCACAGTTTATATTCCTCTTGACCCCTAACCACAGAGTCCACACCAGCAGAGGGGAACGATACAGAGGGATGAGCAAAGACACAGAGAAAGATATAAATGACCTGTACAAAAACATTGTTTAGTAACATGAAAGCTGTGTCAAGTCAGCTGGCTTAGCCTTTTCATCACACTGTCACCCCTCTCAAACAAGAGCAGAAGTTCCCAAAAAGTCATTTTTGGCAGCACTCTCTTATAAACCTCTGTGTCAGAGGCGTGATTCAGGGAGAGAAGCCACTCCCTTGAAAGTCTAGTCATGTCAGTATGCCACCTCAGTATGAAAGCAGATGAAGATTCATAGGGGAGAAGGACATGAGATGAGAGAGGTCATTGTATGAGACTACTGATTCCTCCTTATATCTTTGGATTTCTGGTGTCGGCATCTACTGTAGCTATTTTTACCACACCCATTCACTTGACTGGTGGAAGCAGTTTTTGTCAGAAACAACTGTTGCAACTTTGGAAAACTTTGGAAAAAGCCAAGAAAAGAAAATAAATCCTGATCATATGACTGTAGAGAGCTTGTGTTTTAGTTGATCTGCACAGTTTTCCCCTCTTCACCATGGCAGACAGGTGGATCCTTCTGGTGCAAGGTGAGTCACATCTGTCACTGACAGTAGCTGAAATGACAATTCATTTGTTTGACAAAGTTTTAAAATGTTCTGAGAAAAGAAACCAAAGTGTTGTAGAAGCCTACAAACTTATGTCTGTGTGTGTTTTCTGTCTAGGATGACAAAAAAAAGACTTTGTGTGACAATGTTAGTATTAATCATACTATATCAATAAATATGTCTTTTTAAAAAGTGTACTAATGTCTAATTATAGCTAAGTCAATTGTATATAAGTGCCTCTTTCCAAATTCTATGTTTTATTGATTTGATTTGATTTATTTTTTCAAACATGCAGAACAAATGACATCAACACACAACTTCCTTCCTTACACAAGCCAACCACTGCTAATCAAGAATCAGTTTGCTTATACCAGCACATGCTTGAATGGAGTAGGAAGAAGTCAGACTTATCCAGTCCTACCCCATAACATCATCTTATACAAAAAATTTCATGCATCATTGGCTGCAAGCAGTATCTCTACATAGGTAATTCTCTTCTTCACCAGACAAGTAATACACAGAAAATTTAAAACAGAGTGTTTCCTTCATGCATTCTTGATTAAATCTCTTATTCTTGCATATATCTTGAATGACACATACATTTATATTTATATTTAAACTC